ATCCCCTCCTGGCCTGGACAGCCAGCTCCCCCAGCCCACCTTACACCCAGCCCCAGATGGAATAAAGTCACGCTCGACCAGCGGGACAAGGAGGGCTCTTGACTTGAATCCAACTGGGTTTTATTGCAGGAATGGCAGAAAGTCCGGGTAAGGTGGGATACGAGTAACGTGGAGGGTAGGACAGGCAGGAAGGCACACAACCGCAGCTGAAGGGTCTCAGTGTCAAGAAGGCACAGACAGAGAGAGTGGCAGCCCCTCTCACAGGAGGCACAAGGCACCAAGACCCTGCGCAGGGGAGGGCACAAGGAATATATCCAGGGAAGGGTAGGAGGGGTTAAGGTTTGTTCATACCTAATGGGGTTTGGGAAGAAGGGAGGAGCTGGGATGGGATGACACAGCCACAACCAATGGGGAATGGAGAGGGGAGCGGTTCTAGACAGAGGCCAATGGGTAGACAGAGGATGCAGAGTTTTCCAGAACATGGGGGTGGGCACTGTTAAGTGACAAAGCCAGATTTACATGAGAGAATGGGGAACCCTGGGAAAAAGCTTCAATTTCTCACCCTGACCTAAAGGGAGTTTTCTCCTAGGGCATTCCCACTCCAGCATGCAACCCATGGCCTCCTACAACCTTTGTTTAAATAATTTTTAAAAAACCCAATTTGGACAAATCATAGGGTCTCTTAATAAGGGGACACTTCAAAACATCACTATTGGAACTCTCACTGCAGAGTTGAGTGGCCTTCTGTGCCCATGGTTTTCAAGTACAATGGACTTTAGATAGGAGTCACTTGCCGAAAAAAATATATCTGTGTATCTTTTAGATAAGTCCAAAGACTTTCCAAGCCTGGCTGGAAAGAGCTAAAGAATGATGAAGCACATCAACCATCACCCTGGGGTGAAGGACAAGCACATGGCTAGCAGGTACTTTGGAATAATGGCATTGCTGTTGGTGGTATCATCATCAGATATTGTTATCGTTGTTACTTTCTGGACCTAGGACACTTTGATATGAATGGGCTGAAACCTTCTGTGTTGTTTGATAAATGTGAGTGCCTCAAAAAATAATCTCAAATCTTATGTGAAATCTGACTCACAGAATGGTTTAGGTTGGAACCTTAAGGCTCCTCCAGTCCCCACCCTGCTGTGGGCTATCTTCCACTATCCCGGGTTGCTCCAAGCTCCAATGTCCAACCTGGCCTTGGACACTTCCAGGGATCCAGGGGCAGCCACAGCTGCTCTGGGCACCCTGTGCCAGGGCCTGCCCACCCTCCCAGGGAACAATTCCTTCCCAATATCCCATCTAACCCTGCCCTCTGGCAGTGGGAGCCATTCCCCCTTGTCCTGTAATTCCAGGCCCTCATCCAAAGTCTCTCTCCAGCTCTCTTGAAGCCTTTTTAGGCACTGGAAGGCTTTAAAAGAAAAGCTCCCATGTAATTATTTTACACTGAGACTTACTTCTGTTTCCTTGGTGGGTTTAGAAAGGTTTATATTGTATATTCCTTACCTCCTGCTGACATATCCCTGTCCCTTCTCCTGAAACAGGGGCTGTTGCTCTGCAGCTGTGAGGACTCCTGTCCTTGCTAACAGATGTACCATTGTTGCTACGTTGCCGATGTCTCCCAGATGTCTTTCCACTGATCAGAGGAGTGTTCCAGGGCTGTTTGGTGTCATGGTGTCCCATCTCTGCTTTAAATTTTGCCATCCTTCCCAGTCCTTAATTCCCCTTTTCCTGGCCAGCTGTGGCTGCTAAACCCTCAAGTGGTTGCTAAACTCTCAAATGCATCTAGGAAGATTTCCAAGCTGAACAGGTGGACCAAGTGTCCATCTACCTTGCACAGTGTTCTGTACTGGTGCTGGGTTCCAGCCCCAGCTGTTGCAGCCATTTATGGCGTTTGGCTCTCCAGAGGAGGAAATGTTTTTTTCAAGCTTGCCCAAGAACAGTTTGCACTTCTGAGCTTGCTGCCTCCTCACAGGATGTTTCATGCCAGAAACTCACTTGGCTTGAGCATCAAAAATCCCAGCCTAGGCTGATGGTGGCCTGGCCACACAAGGGGAAGGGAACTCTTGAGGGAGAAGAAAACCCATGTGCACCTTGGCCCTCTGCACTATCAATAGCTGGGATTACTCTGCAGAGAGCAGAGCCTGGCAGGGAAGGATCAGACAAACAAGTGAGAGGAGTTCTGCACACAACATGGAGGGGCTCACAGGTGGATTGAGCTGGGCAGCCCAGTGTGGAGAGGGGCCCTTGCAGAGCAGCCCCTGTGAGACAGGGGAAGCTCAGCCTTCTCTTTCCCCTCAGCAGGACTGAAGTTCCTGCAGCGAAGGAGGCTTTGAAGAAACATGGAAGGGAGGCCAGGCAAGGCTGTGGCAAGCTGGGAGAGGAACAGGCCGAGCATTATCCATGCTGGCTGCGCTCCTGTGGAGGTAATCTCATAGTTATTTTAGTCTCCAGCTGGGATGCAGTTCTGATCCCAGCTTTTGCAATATCCTGCCAAGCCCATGCTCTAAATCTGCCCTTGCTGGCTCTGAGCAAGGCGGGACCACGTGGTGAGAACCTGCCAGCATCAATCGAAGGGAAAGACTTTTACACTGCTCCCTTTTTGTGAATTGCTGACCACTTTGGGGCTCCTGGGAAGGGGCTCTAAACCTTGGGCTTGGCTGTTTGGTTTGGGGTTTTTCTCCCCCTCCATAATATGCAGATTTAAAGACAAAACTGGAGCATTTGAATCCGTGCCTCCCTCTGCAGAGAGGTTCCTTGCTCCCTAAAACCATCCCATAAAAACACGGGAGCTCTCTCTCCCGCTTGGTTTGGGTCTGTGTCCTGCAAATACATGAGGAGGCTGCAAAGAAACTTTAAGCTGAGCTCCTTCCTGTTCATCAGCAGGGCTGCTCCTCCAGCAGTATTTCTGTAGCATCATTGGGTCTGTAGTAAATTACAAGGATCATATCTCCCGGAAACACTGGCTACTTGCTCTGCATGGCTTCAACCTCCCTGATAACCTCAACAATGCTCCTCAAGCAGCAAGACTGGGTTGGATCAGCTGCTAGTCCTCATACCCAAAAGGATTTGAGCCCTTGCCCAGTTTCAACTGGACAGTGCTTTGCTTTGGTGGGTTCTCAGTGTGTGTGTGTGTATCAACACACACTCTTGGGAGTTTGGTTTGCTTCTTTATTTCAAGGATGGAAAAGGACAACCCAGCTGGTTTTGGGGGGAAAAGGAGGATGGAAAGGGTCTGGTTTAAAGCAAGCTTTGCTTTCCTAGCCAGGTTGTTTTAGGAAGTGTCCACATGCCTTGAAATAAATTAAGTGTGGCTCCAGGGGCCATTGTGGAGAGTGAGCACTGTAAAAACACAGATTGCAGGGAAAACCTTATGCACTGTGACAATTTAAAGTACCCCCGAAGGGCATTCACTCAGGCAGAAACACACTTTATTTGGAGCACATTATGAATGAGTCGGGAACAATTTGTTTGCTGGAGATGGCAGAGAATCAATTAAGCAGAGCAGAGGGAGCTCTCTATGCATCTCTTAACAGTTGCAGGGTTTGAATTGCCAAGCTTGAGATGGCAGGGCTGATGTCATCAGTCAGGTCCTGAAGGGCTGAAACAGAGAGGAACAGAGCCATGGTCAGAGCCCACGTCTGCGGGGACCTGAGGAGACTCTCCTGCCAGGGCCATCCCAGCCCACTCTTGCTATGGCCAGGAAGGAGCAGGGAATATCACAGAATCACAAGGCTGGAAGAGACCTTCAAGATCAAGTCCAACCCATGCCCCAACACCTCAACTAAACCCTGGCACCAAGTGCCACATCCAGTCATTTTTTAAACACATCCAGGGATGGTGACTCCACCATCTCCCAGGCAGACTATTCCAGTACTTTATCACTCTTTCTGTGAAAAACTTCTTCCTAATATCCAACCTCTATTTCCCTTGGTGCAGCTTAAGGCAGTGTCCTCTGGTTCTGTCATTTGCTGCCTGGAGAAAGAGACCAATCTCCACCTGACCACAACCACTCTTCAGGAAGTTGTAGAGAGTTATAAGGTCACCTCGGAGTCTCCTTTTCTCCAGGCTAAACACCCCCAGCTCCCTCAGCCATTCCTCACAGGGCTTGTGTTCCCAGCCCCTCTCCAGCCTCATTGCCTTCTCTGGATGCACTCAAGCATCTCAACGTCCTTCCCAAACTGAGGGGCCAGAGCTGGACACAGCACTCAAGGTGTGCCCTCACCAGTGCTGAGTACAGGGGAAGGATGACCTCCCTTCTGCTGGCCACACCATTCCTGATCCAGGCCAGGAGCCACTGGCCTTCTTGGCCACCAGAGCACATGGCTGGCTCATGTCCAGCGGGCTGTCGACCAGAACCCCCAGGTCCCTTTCTGCCTGGGCACTGTCCGGCCACACCGTCCCCAGCCTATAGCAGTGCAGGGGTTATTGTGGCCAAAATGCAGGACTGGGCTCTTGGACTTATTAAACTTCATCTTGTTAGACTCTGCCCATCCCTCCAATCATTCCAGGTCTCTCTGCAGAGTGCTGCAACCTTCCAACAGATGGACACAGGCTTCCAGCTTAGTGTCACCTGCAGATTTACTAATGAAAGACTCAATCCCCTCATCCATGTCATCAATAAAAACATTGAACAGACCAACGGGATCAGCCTGAAGCTGCTGGCCACAAATCCCCCAGGTGCCCTGAAATCTCTGTGTGCTCAGCCCACATCGCCCCTCATCCGCAGAGCCCTCTGCAGCCGGGGCAGGGCTCACAGCTCCCCGCCAGCCCCCGCTGGCAGCCCTCACCCTTGTAGATGAGCCAGGTCTCTTCCTGCTGCCTCTTCAAGTACCGCCCTGCAATCCCTGGGAACACAGAGCCTGTTATGGACCATGGCCCAGCTCCTGCTGCGGCGGGGCGGGGAAGGAGCCCGGGCTGGTGGCTCACCCATGAACCTGATGGCAGTCTCTCGCAGGGGCTCCTGTGGGCTCTGCAGGTAGGGCAGGGCCCGGCGCAGGTGCTCGGCCACGCTGCTGCTGTCCTCTGCCAGCTGCAGAGAGCGGCAGGAGGGAAGGGTTGGCCCCGCAGCCCCTCCGGGCCGGGGCTCCATGGGCACCCGGCTCGGGCCGCAGGAGCCTGGAGCAGAGCCCGCGCGGCCTCGGGCTGCAGCAGCGGGCAGGGGCACAGCTGCCAGCCCGCACACCGAGCACCGCGCTCAGGGGGCTTCTCCAGGCTGGGGCTGCGGCTTCCCGGCCCTCCTTACCAGGTTTTCGGGGAACATCCACAGCTTCTCCTTCAACAGCCTCTTCAGATGCCTCCTCTTCAGGAACTCAGCTGCACGAAGCAGCGTTTCCCGAGAAGCCTGGAGAGCAGTAGAGACACAGAAATGGCCCCGCAGCCAAGGGCACAGGATCAGCATCCCTGTGCCAGGGCCTGGAGGAGGCTGCAGCCAGGACAGGAGGCAGCTGAGCCCCCTCCAAGGGGGACAGCAGCAGCCCACGAGTCCTCACCTCTGCCACATGCCGATTCTCATCGTGGCAGTGGAAGAAGAGTGGGAGCAGGCTCTTGCTCACAAGTTTCTTCAGGGGCTTTTTTCCCGTGTCCATTACTAGCTCCATCACCTCTCGGAAGAGGCGAATGGAGAGCAGCTGCACATGGCTATTGTCCTGTTGGAAGGGAAGAGGAAAAGAACCAGCAATGGTTTCTCTGGGCCCACCTGGGCACAGGCCTGAAAATCCACAGGGCACCAAGTGTCTGGGCAGCACCCAGTGATGGTGGCTGGGGGCACAGAGCCTTACTTGGTCAATGAGTGGTCGGAGCACCTCAGCCAGCTGCAGGGCGGTGGGACTGGATATTAGGGTGTCTCGGTCCTGGAGCTCATTTAGGAATACAGAGAGGATCAATGCAACCACCTCTCCATCTGCATCCTGCAGTAGGGCCAGGAGGCTCTGTGTCAGACTCCGGATGCCTTCGGCCTATGTGGGACACAATGCTGCACTGTGAAACCATGAACTGTAGAATCATAGCATATCCTGGAGTGGGAAGAGATCCACAAGGATCATCCAGTCCAACCCCTGGCCCTGCACAGACAATCCCAGCCTGTGCCTGAGAGCGCTGTCCAAACAGTCCCAGAGCTCTGGCGACCTTGGGGCTGTGACCATTCCCTGGGGTGCCTGTTCAGTGCCCCACCACCCTCTGAGGGAAGAACCTTTGTCTAATATCCAGCCTCAAACTCTCCTGACACAACTCCAGCTGTACCCGTGAGTGCTGTCACTGGTCACCAGAGAACAGAGATGCCCTTTCACTTCCCTTGCAAGGAAGCTGCAGATTGCAGTGAGGTCTCCCCTCAGTCTCCTCCAAGCAGACAGGTCACTCACCGACACCTCCTATGGCTTCCCCTCTAGACTCTTCACTGTTTTCATACTCCTCCTTTGCACAATCTCTAGTCGTTTCATGGATTTTTTACATTTTGATGCCAAAAATTGCACACAGCACTTGAGGAAAGGCCACGCCAGCCCAGAGTAGAGCAGGACATTCCCATCCATTGCCCAGCTGGTGATGCTGTGCCTGATGCATCCCAGATATCCCTCCTGGCTGCCAGGGCACTGCTGACTCCTAATCGCCATCACAGGATCCCCACAGGTCTCTTTCCACAGCACAGCTCTCTGGTCTCTCATTCCCTGCTCTAGCCACACAGCCAGGCTGCTCATGCCAGGTGCAGCATCTGCCACCTGCCCTTGTTCAACTTCATATGGTTGGTGATTGTCCAGCCTGCAAATCTGTCTCTACAGGGCATCTACCCTCAAGGGAGTCAACAGCTCCTCCCAATGTAGTATCGTCAGCAAACTTATTTATTATTTCTTCAGGTGCTGTGTCCAATGCCACTCTGGCACTGCAGGCCCACCCTGCTGCCACAGGGCCTAGAGGCCAAAGGCCTGTCCCGAAGCACTCGGGCAGCTGAAGTGGGAGGCAGGAGAGCTGGGAGCAGCTGCCCCAGTGCCTGAAGCCCAGCCAAGTTCCAGTGACTGCGTTCCCCAGCCCCACGCTGCCTGCACGGCTTCAGCTGCTGCCCCCTCCTTACCAGAGAGGGATCCTTGCTGAGCACCACAAGGCCTCGGAGCGCCAGGTGACGCTTCTCCCTGGATTTGCTCTGCAGGCTCCTTGAAATGATCTCCAGGGCACTGTCACTCCATTCCCTCATGTCAGGGCACTCGAGGACCTGAAAGGCACAGGGCAGTGACAGGGGACCCGGCCGGCAGGAGCCCAGAACCGCACAGGGCCGGGCCCAGGCAGCAGCACGGGGCGTGGATGGCAGCTGTGGCTACGAGAGGGCAGAGAGCTGGGAGGAAGCTGAGGCAGGCAGTGCTGGCCCACAGGCTCACCTCCACAATGAAAGCCAGGGCTGGCAGATCCCAGCGTGGCTTCTGTGAGCTGAGCAGCCCCAGCAGGCGGAGTGCAATGCAGGAACACAAGGGGTTCGAGGTACGGCGCATCTCCCTGGAAGGCAGAAAAAGGCACCAAGACTCTGAGTCAGCAGGAGCAAACGTCTCCCAGGACTGTCTCACACAGTTCTTGTCTTTACCCCCCACCCTGCAGGGGGACCTGGGCCCTTTGAGATGTGGCTGCTCTTGGGCACCCTCCTCTCCCAGCCTTTTCCAGTCTGCTTGGCCATCCCTCGTGCCTCTGGCCCACAGCCACGGGGACTGAGTGGGATACCCCAGACACAGAGCACAAATGCCAGGAGCAATGGGGAGAAGGGGGTCTCACCTGGCCAGCAGACCCACGGCATAATGGTGGGTGTCAGCACAGAGCAGCATGTCCCAGCCATGCTTGCGCTCCATTGCCATCAGTAAATCCAGACACCGCAGATAGCGGAACAGTGCCCTCACAGTCTGCACTGCAAACCTGCGGGCAGAGCAAAGCCCTGGTCACCCTGGGCGTACTGGCACCTGCCCTGGGGACACGGGAGAAATGGGATGGAGCACCTGTTGATGCTGGTGGGAAGGCTGAGTTGCTCCTGGCATTCCTTCCAGAAGGTGTTGACCTCCTCTGGCATATCTAATGTGCTGACAAAAACTTGGGAAAGCAGAGCCACAAGGAGGCGGGGAGAATGTTCCATAAACGGCGCTGGGCACCAGGGCAGGCGGAGAATCTCCCAAACCACCCTGGTTGCCTGCAAAGGACAAAGCCCCCCGAGACAGCGCTCAGTGCCAAGGTGTCCATGTGACAGGGCCTGAGCGTGGCAGGGAGAGGCCCAGAGAGACACAGGGGGAGCAGCAGGCCTGGTGGCCCTGCAGCTGTCCCTAGGCCAGCTTTCAGGCCAGTGCCTGAGGCGGGGAGATGCAGTGGGGGAAGGAGGATGGAGAGCTGCTGGACAGGCGGCCTTCGGGCCAGCAAAGACCAGAACCAGAAACTCACAGCCAGGGCAAAGACTCTTGTTTTGTCCCCATCAGAGGTGGACACTCTATGCAGTGGCCAGTTTTCCAGCACACAGAGCAGTGTTGGCAGCACCTTGTCCACTGCCATTCCTGATGAGGCTATGGTCCTCCACATGATTGTAGCAGCCCTATGGGACCAGAGCTGTGTGTCAGAAGGATCTTAGCCACAGCACCATGGCCTGGGCAGCTGTGGGGGCCCAGGTGACAGAGCCCTGGTGCCCTGAGAGGCAGGGAGGGAGCACGGCAGCAGGCTGGGTGGCTGACATGCCACAGCTGGGAAACAGAGAGCCTGGTGGGTCCTGGAACTCTCTACCTGTCTATCAGACTCCACTGGACTGGCTGTAGAGGGTGATGGGCCCTAAGGGCCAGTGAGCCATGAGGCCACAAGGAAGGTGGCTCCCATACCTGTCACATGATGGGGCACAGCGCAGGAGGGTGACTGCGACATCAGTGGGGTGTGCCTCGGTCAGCCTCAGGATGTCCATTAACACCCTGTCACCTGGAGGTGCACTGGATACAAGTCTCCGGTGCATGTTCCTCACAAAGTCTGGCACCTGGTGGAGGCGCACAGAGAGCTGGAGAGTTGCCAGAACAGCAACTTCCCCAGCTTCCTCTGAGAAGTCCTTTCCACCACACTCTGATGGCATCAAGGGCCTGACGGGGGGCCCAGCAGACCTGGCTTGAGGAGCCCCCATTTCCTGAGGGGATCCAGCCCTGTCCACAGGCTGCTTACTTCATTTGGGTGGGAAACAAGTCTCTCCCCAAAAATATCCAGGTTGGGAGAAGAAGCCTTCATATTTGCTATGCTCTGAGTTGGTGCGATATCAAGTGTTGGCCGTGTGGTCAGTGTAACGTCGGGGTTTGAATCCTCCATCTTCTCCTGGCTATGCTGGAACGTCTCTCCCTTGTTCCACCAAGATCTGTCCTTAACAGCTCATGGAAAATAATTGGTTAAAGCCTGGGGACAACAAGGAACAAGGCGGTTGCACAGGGCCTCATGCAGCGCCACCCTGTTCCAGTTCCTCTGGACACTGTGGCCACCAGCAGCTGTATTGTGATGCGCTGCAAAGGGCCCTGTGACACAGAGAGACGTTCCTTCCCATAGTGCCCACCGTCACAATGGGTCCTTGCACACAGTGCCGTGTGCCCTGGAGCCTCCTCCAGCCCAGGCAACCTGCCCTGTTGTGGGGCAGCTCCAAAGGAGCTCTACAGGAATAAAAGACACGCTGATGTGTCCTGAACCCACTGGGAACACGACTGTCGCAGACGGTTTTCTTACCCTCCATAACCATTGGGGGACATATGGGAGCCCCAAAATCAGAGTGTTCTGCCTTAACAGATTCCAGAGGGTGATGATCCTGTACCAAGCAACGAAAAGAATCCACTGCCACTGAGGTTGCCCACAGGCCAGCCCATCTTGGTGTTGCGCCTATGACCTAGGCAGATCTAGCGCTGGTTATTACTGCCTGCTTGTTTGCCCTTGCTGTTGATTGGTATATCTGTCTATTTCTCCTGTAGGGTGAGAGGCCTGTGTGGAGGTTGCAGTCTGACCCTTTGGGACAAAAATAAAACACTGAAGAAGAGCAGACTGAGGGGAGACCTCATCGGGGTCTGCATTCTCTCCTTATGAGGAGCAGTGAAGGGACAGCTCCAATCTCTGCTCTCTGTGACCAGTGACAGCACCCAGGTGAATGCCTGGAGGTTTAGGTTGGATATTAGGAAAAGGTTGTTCCCCCAGAGGGTGGTGGGGTACTGAACAGGCTCCCCAGGGACTGATCACAGCTCTGGGTGCCAGAGCTCTGGGAGTGTTTAGACAACCCTTTCAGGCCCAGGGTGGGATGTTTGGGGTGTCTGTGCAGGGCCATCCTCAAAACAACGCATTCCCACAATCCACATTCCTTTGGAGGAACATGATCTCTCCATCAATAAACTCATGTTCATGGCCACTGCCTCTCCAGAAGCAGACTCTGACTTTTCATTCTTATTAAAATTCACAGAAAGTTTTGCTATGAATATTTTCCCCCTCCTTTTAAATCACGAATGGACACTCCCTGGTGTGCACCGACAACACTACAGATGCAGCTCATAAGAGCATGGGCAGCAGGGTGATGATCCCGCTGCGTATTCCGCTGGGAAAAACTCCTATTTTACAGCCTAGGCTGGCTTTCAAACAAGCGGGGCGTGTTCCGGAGCCAGTCCTGACTCCAGACTGTGCTAACGTGGTTGTCTGGGTGAGGATCCTTGGGAAACTCGTCCTTGGAGATGGCCACAAACATTCTCCCAGCCAGGGAGCGCCGTCTCTGTCCTGCCTATGTGTGGAAGGATCGGCAGAGGGCAGAGCAATCCCACCGAAGGATGGATGAGGACAGTTCCCAGCAGCCGGCATCCTACTGCAGTGCCGTGGCTGGCACATATGATTAAGAGGAGGCCAAGGTGCCCAGTCGACCTCCTCCCTAGGGAGGGTGCAGCCAGGTGGGCAGGGTCCCTGGCAGAAGATAGACAGGGTGGTAGTGAAAGTGCTCTTGGAGGTGCTAGGGTTCCTTCTCTCGGCATCCTTTGGGACACAGGGAGCAAGCTGCCTACCACAGCAGTGTATGGAACCACCAATAAAACAGACCCTCCCAGAGATCATCCGGGACTGAGCTCAGGTGCCTGGGGCTGTGACTGAAGGATGTGTGGGTGGGGACACCAGGTGAGGTCAGCAAGACCCCTTACTGCCCTCAGGGGTCCAGCACTTGATGCAGCCCAAGGTTTGAGAGGGAAGCAATGAGTGCCTTGAGGGCACAGCTCTGCTTGGGACTGCTCCTCGGGATGGGGGCTGAGAGGAGCTGCAAGGTGGTGCCCATTCCCATGGCTGGTCGTGACCAGCTCCCTGTGACCTTTTGCTGTGTGGACAGTTTACGGATTCTTTTGGGGGCGACCTGCTGGTTCAGAAAAGGGGAAAGAGCTGGGCACTGTGTTTGTAAAGAGGTTCTGCCAGAGCCCAGAGTACCCCCAACTCTTGGTACCTTTGCTTCTGTGAAATCCCAGGAGCACCTGGGTCACTGAGCTTTGGAAAGGATCATTGGCTGCCCAAGGCTGACTTGCTGTGTTCTCCTGGGCACTTGGCTTTCAGGAATCCTTGGAGTGTGAGTGTGTGCAGAGCGATCTCATCCCCTGGAGATGCTCTTTGCCCTTCCCAGCAGACGGGCAGCAGAGGAAAGCCCCAACTTATCCGTCCAAGAATTGTAGGTAGAGAAATGAAGCAGGTGAGCATCCAGCTGTGCTGCCAGGATGATGTGCCTGAAAGCCAATTTCTGCCAGGGGCTGGGGCCCAGGCAGTGGTGGAAGAGCTGTACCTTCTGTAGAGGCCTTGGGGAGGGGGAGTGGAAGGCAGAAACATTGTGAACCCACAGCCCAGATCAGCAGCCTCCTTCCTGCAGCAACAGCCATGCTCGTAAATAGCAGGAAGTATGGAGAAGCAGTGAGAAAATAAATAAATCACAGGAGACAACTGCCTGAGTCCCCAGCCCTGTGGAGCATCAGGGGCAGAGAGATGCCCACTGCCCAGCAGGAACCATGAGGGGAGCACAGGGAGGTGCAAACCCACAGCTGTGTCTCCTGCTGCATTTGGGGAGAGCTCTGACACCACGAGTTCTCTGGGACAGAACCAGCCCTTTCCCTTCTACACTCAACCCCCGCAGGGGAGGGGAGGGGAGTGGAGAGGGCCCCTTCCTCCCCACCTCCAGCAGACAGCAAGGGCAGAAGTGGAAGAGAACAGAAAGTCTCCAGGGGCCAAATTTGCACCTTGTTTCCATGCTGGGGGCTGGGGGGGGGTGTGGGAATTTGGGAGCTCTCCTTCTTTGGAAAGGGTCCAGCTGCCTTAGGAGAGAAATTCCTTGCATAGCTTTGCTGTGAAGAAAGTGCTGACCTGTTTGGGGGCGTTTGCTGAGCAAGTGAAGACGAGCCAAAGGCAGCTTGTAAGTGCTGGAAGAAAATGGCCCAGTTTGCTCATCACTGGGGTTAGGCAGCTGATCAGGCTCTCTAGGGCAAGTGGTACCTGGGGAGCCCACGAGGGTGTCCCAATGCTCCCTGGCTTCACATACCTGCAGAGAGATGATCTGACCGCAGCACAGAGGCTGCTGGTGCCATGCCATGTGAGCATCAGAGCTCACCTGGCAGCCCAGGAAACCCCACCACTCCCAGGGGTGAGACCCAGGGAACACCTGGAGAGCTGGAATCTCAGGGTGAGGCTGAGACAGTGGGTCAGGGAGGGGGCGTTTAGCTATGGGTTGACTCAGAGATGGCTGGACACCTTGGGGTGCAAGGGACTCACACAAGACATTGATCACTGCAGTGTCAAAGGGGATTTAAAACCAGCAGCAGATGGCTGGGGGAGAGGGCATGGAGGGATTGGGCTAGGAAATGCACCTTATGTTCACTTCTGAAAATGCCAGCAGGAAAGCAAACAGTGTAACTGCAATAAATATGGGAGGCAAATCCGACCTCTTGCAATGCCAGGAGAGCAGCCAGTGTGTAACTAAAAGAGCCTCAATTTAGTTTAGCTATAAGGCAGCATTTTCTTAGGATGATGGTGGTGGAACACTGGCACAACTTGCCCAGGGAGATGGTGGATGTTCTATCCCTGGGAACATTTAAGACTGGGATGTACAGGTCTCTGAGCAAAATGGTCTAGTGAAAGGTGCCCCTGGCCATGAGATGGTGTTTAAATGTCCCTTCCAACAAAAACCATTCTGGAATTCTGTGATTCCATGACTCTGTGTTCTCTTGCCTGGACAACAGAGCAAGGGCAAACCTAAATATGTTTCCACATCAACACCAGACACCTAAACCAGGTACTCACATATTTTAGGAGTAGCTATAAAAGGGGAACACTTCCACTTGAAGACTGGATTGAAGTGTTGGAGAATAAGTAATAAAGATAAAACTTTTTAATACAGTACATGGTGCCATTCCTCCAGAAACAGTCTGAGAACCACCAGGAAAATTTTGGTGGTACTCTGGATCTGCTCTGAAAATGAGGAAATATGTCAAAAAAAAACCCCAAAAACCAACAAACAAGGCAAATCCCAGACAAAAAAAAAAAAAAAAAAAAAAAAAAAGAAATTACGAGTACAGGGAAAAGTGATGCTGAGGAGTAAAAGGTCTCCCAGAAGAACAGGAAAGCTGAAAGAACGCATCAAGTCAGATATAAAAAGGGAAGAAAGACAACTAAGAGCAAGCTGGGGGCTTGTCCTGCTAAATGTGCTCAAACCAGTGGTGACCAGCTCAGCCAGTCTTCTGCAGGTACTGGGAGGTGGGAAGGGTGCCCAGGGATGGGATGGACATAGTGACAGGGCTTTCCCCTGGGGGGCATCCACACTCCTACCCATTTTTTTTCCCTCAAGGTGGGAAAGGCTTTTAAATTGGAATAGAAATCCTGGTGAAGTTATCCTGGAGAGACAAGCTAAACGTCCTGGACAGTTTGGAAATGGCCAGCACCAGGATGGGGACACTGATGGTCAGCAGGAGCATGGTCAAGTCTTGTCCTATGGGAGTACGAGGATTCTTGAGCCTGGGGATACTCACAGGAGCAGTCCTTCCTTGGGGCCACTCCCCCTCCCCAGAAGTGAGCCTGTGCATCCTGGCACAGGGAACTGGGGCAGAACCTTGGGATACCCAGCTGCTGAGGAGCCTGGAGCAGTCCAGTCCTTAGTGGGGAGCTGGGAATTTCCTTTTCCCAGGGAGGAAACAGCTCCTATTTTGAGTCTTGCTGGAGCAAAGGGCATTGACTTTTTTTTTTTCTTTTTTTTTCTTTTTTTTTTTTTTTTTCCAGATGAGTCAAACTTGACCATTCCTCTGCAGAGAATATGCTGAGTGCAGCCTGGGAGAGAAGAGGTGACAGCCTCAAGGCTGCTGGGACTATCCCTAAGGAAGCAGTGGGAACATGCCAGGATCTTCCATTTTGAGGTTGTTTCCTCTGTGTTAGCTGCACACTGGGAAGGCCCAGGTGTATTCCACTACCCACAGCAT